ATGGCGATGCCACTGACTGAAGTGTCTTTAGGCGTTACTCTTTCTTATGGACGGTAGAATTGTAAATGGGCTGATTCAACAATTTCATGTTGACAACATTGTACCTGAACTACAACAGGGAACTGCTGCTTTTTCTTTCCGATTCCTTACTCTCGTCATTTTCCTCTACTTGTCACTCTCTTGTGACCTGCTATTTCCGGGGTGCCATTAATAGTCGAAACAGACTTTGTGCTGTTGAAGCTAGAGAGGTGAGCAGAGTAAGTCTGATTCCCTGTAAAGACTTCTCTGTTGACACCCACCCCTTTGCGCCCATATGACCTTATGCAGTTGCGAGCGCCGTAAAACCCTCTACTAAAACTAAAAACAAATATACACACCAATGAAACCTAACTTCCTCTATAGGTGGGGCAATGCCCACTTTTGGTGTAGGTCAAGATTTCTGGAAACCCCCGAAATCTGGGTTAGCCCGCATGTCATTAAAAGCGACCAAATATGATTTATTCTAAGGTCTTTGGTAAGTAAGTTTCAAGGAGGTTATAAATATTTATTCTAAAGTCCTTGGTCAGTCATTGTCAAGGAGGTTATAAATATTTATTCTAAAGTCCTAAGGACTTAGTGTCCATCTTTTTTTAAAATAGGGTGGCGGCAGTTATCCAGTGATCTGGCTACCGGACCCGTAGTCGTGAGGTAATGGGTGGTTGGCGGGTGCTCTGGTGTGGTTTGCTCCTTTTTTTCCTATCAAACATCTATCGTCCTGATCTTTCCTCCTCCTTTTTTTGTGCTTGTTACTCTCTTGTAACACATCTAATCTTCGGCACTTATATGACCTTATTGTGTTGCAAGTGCCGTAAAACCCTTAAAAACTAAACTATCTCCTCCGTAGGTCCAACTGTGTTAATGTGTTCCTACACGCTGTGTTATCTTACACGCTGTGTTAATCTACACGCTGTGTTATCTTACACACTGTGTTAATCTACACGCTGTGTTATCTGCTCTCTAGGTCCTGTGTTAACATGTTTCTATATTCTGTGTTATTATCTCCTCCGTAGGCCCAACTGTGTTAACATGTTCCTACATGCTGTGTTATCCTACACACTGTGTTAATCTACACACTGTGTTATCTCCTCCGTAGGTCCAACTGTGTTAACGTGTTAGTCACCACCACCCAGCTGGTGCCGGCGCTGGCCAAGGTGCTGCTCTACGGACTGGGCGGGGTCTTCAACATTGAGAACATCTACAGCGCCACCAAGATTGGTGAGTTGTCGGGAGGGGGCGGGGCCCTGAAAGGAAAGGGGAGGGGCCCTGG